ACTTGTGACTTGTGGTATCTTTTGGCGACAGGTCGGAGTATCTTTGGGATCAGCATCTTTTTCGTAAACGCTCCTCAAAACTAGTCTGTGCAGCTGGCCTAAGCCCTATTAAGTGTCGCACTGAGCAGAGGCGTAGAGTCGAGAAGGAGTGTGAAATTCTGAGCCTCTGAGCATGCAGACCTGTCTCTGCTGATAGTGCGCATGGAAGCCCAACCCGCTGTCTCCTTTGAAGCAGGGCTCTACAGCTATGTGTGCCCATCCAACCCTGTGCGCATGTCAGGACCCGCCAGGCACCGAGAATTCGCAAGCGTCTTCGCCAGCCAGAAACCCCAGCCGTCGACAGCTTTATCCCCCTCCTACTCCCCATGTGAGTAAACTGTAATGGTAATGTAGCCCAAGGCCCTTCCCTTCTTAACGATTGAATGCAGCCTTTGTTGAGATCGCTCCTGCGCCAGTCGCTCACCCAGGGCTTCCGGAGAGGGATCCTCCTGACACACAGCTTGGTGGAGGAGTTACTGCAGAAGCCTTCATAATTAGAATAGGGTTTTGCGGGCTCCTTCTTACAATTATATAGCATAACATCCCCTGCAAAACCCTATTCTAACTCCCAAGGCCCCCATATCATAGAACCCTACTATATATCCCTTATTGACCCCTTTAAAGGATCCCCTGAAAGGAAAACCTATTCTAATTACTAAGGCCCCTACATTACAAGATTGTGAAATCTCTGAGTAACCGTAACCCTCATCTCAACTTCAAGACCCGACGGTCTGCTACGCCATCTTCTCGCCATCACGGAAACTACCAAGAGCCCTACACCTTGCCTTTTATCTGGGTAACTTGTTAAGGGATTGAATCTAAGTAACCATAACAGGGAAACCATTATAATTACGATAGATCCCGATTAGAATAACTTAAATTAAATCCTGACAGTAACAAGAACCCAGTCATTCCCCACTTCCGGTATGCTTGGTCTGCCTTGCACAGCATTCGGAACAGTGTCAAGGCCTCGGATGGCTCCGCATCCGGGCGTGGCACAGCACCGCCACGCGGGCCCCGCTGCGACAGATCCTCCGCCTGACGGCTTGAAAAACGAGAGTCGTCCGGCTCCGGTGGCCGCACCAGGCATTAGAATCATTAGATTTGACAGGTTGGAGTGCCTTGGTGTACAGTGTGAAACTCCCTCACCCTACACAGGTTAGCAGTCGGCAGACCTGGTCGCCGCCCTCGCCTTGCGGCAAAGACCTGAGCTCTATGCTGCGAGAGAGCGCCCTAAAATCCCTTCATCCAAGGCCCCTTAACCTCCAACCCATGTAGGTTATATAGCCCCATTTCTCAGGGTTGCGGGATCTCAGGGCCAGCCACAACAGCCCCCGAATTTAGTTTAGCGCTTGGAGATATGGAATGTTATGGATTGGGGTTTGGGGATTGGCGTCTGGCTCCCTTTTTCATTCGGTTCTATCTGGGGCCATATCTAGAATCCCGACTGCGGAGAAGTTAACTCGGGAGCCCATCAGTGTTGCAAACCTCCGATCCGTGTTGATCATGGATCATCCCCGAATGCTCGTAAGTCTGTTTCCTTTGATCTTTACGTACAGGCGGCAGATCTATCGAATCAAGCACCAAAGGATGGACGTCTGGGAAGCGGAGTCCGCAACGACAGCTCCGACAAATCTGCAAAAGCATTAGACTTTTTGAGGGACCATGCATACATGAACTTATGTATGATTATGTCGTGTGCATGCATGTGTTTATTTCTGTTTGCGGTTGCGTGCGTGTGCATGTGAGTGCGTATGTATGTATGCACATATGTATGTATATATGTACGTATGTGCGTATGTGTGCACAAACTGCTTTCTTCGTAGAACATCTGCTTACATCCAACAAGGTCTCTTCGCATACCCAGGCCAGGATGGCATCTCTCAGACGCAACAAATCAACCACTGCTCCTGCAATGGCCATTTTGCAAAGCATGAGTGTAAGATCGCGAATAGTCAGCAGCATGTTAAAAGAATCAAAGCAGACAATTTGGTGCATGTCTTAAACATGCGGAAAATGTAGATACCACGAAACCTACGAGCGTGCAGCGGCGCAAAGTCCTGATACCGACTGGACGTCTGGCCTGGCTTTTGCTTGTTTTGATTGTTTGCTATATACCATCACATATACAAACCCTTCCAGAAGTCTGCATCCAAGTTGTCACTTCTGCTCATTTTACGCCCAGACTGCATCTGATTGTTCAGTTCGTTGGTGGACAAGGGAAGGGGCTTCTCACCTTCATACATTCTGCCGCCTGGCTCTCCACCCGTGCGAACTCTTGAGTCTGCATGCGTGAAGACTTGCACACTATCGCTTGCGAGAACACGTTGAACTTTCGTTTGCAAAGTTTTGGTAGGTTGACCCATATAGAAATACATTCCCGTCTCGAGATACTAGATATTCAACGTTCATCTGCACAGAGTTGCACACCCATTTTTCATACATATGTGTAAGTGTGCTTTTATCTGCACACAATAGATACCCACATGATATACGAGTAGGTGCCATCAGGCGGTAAATTGGCAGTCATGTGTACATATATATATATATATATATATAAATATATGCATGCAAGCACGCTTTCGCACATCTTCGGCTCGACTTGTGGAAGGTCATCACATGCAGCAGCACATGCGAAACCTACAACCTACTAATAAACAGCCGAATACCACGGCAGGTAATGCAAGCCGTGCATCAAGTCTGCGAATCTCCCTCCAAGCTCCCTTCTCATTCCTTCTCCATGTGTCGGAACTGTCCCCAAGCCCGGCTTTGAGGCCGCGGCGTGGGAGTGTCGTCACTGCCTCCTGTCGCCTGTAAAGCCATCAGGGTCGGCATGGAGCCAGCATGTCTGAAAGGAAGCAGTCACCGAACTCTCTCTATATCTCTCTCTCTCTCTCTCTCTCTCTTTCTGCCTCTCACGGTCCAGTCAGTACTGCCACAAGTCCCCAGGTCAACAGAGCTTCATGTCGGCCAAAGTGTGGAGTTGAGACCTGCTCCAAACTCGAAACCCCAGAACATCAACGCCTAACCGCGTTCAGGGGCCCTTACTGGAGCAACCGCCCAAAGCCACAGCTCGTAGAAGCCCTTTGTGAAGTCCCTCTGAGAGTAGGGTTTAGGGTTTGGGAGATGTGAGTCATTAAGTCGTCATTGAAACTATGGTTACCATATACGTCAGTATACCTATCAGTGTAACTATGGTTACCTCATTTTTTACCTTTTTACCTCGATGAAAGGCTGCCTTCGACCCCTCGGAGGAAGCGGCGAGTGCCTCGCTCAGCTGCACCACCATCCTCAGCGCCGCAGAAGTGTGAAGGCTTCGGACTTCACGGCTTCGGGCCACAAGGCTATACTATTCCAACTCTTCAGGCCCCTATATTATAGTACCTTGATGGATACCTGTAAGAATCCTTATAGTAACCCCTACGTAAGCCCCTTTAAAGGGACCCTATTCTAGTTGAGGGGTCTCTTGCCTCCGCCTTCTGCTTAGCCGCGATTGCAGGGTTTCTCAACGGGCGGAAGACGCAGGGTGAACACCGGCACAAAAGCTGGTCGCAATAAAGCTGCACGGAACCCCTAGGAAAGTCTTCGAATCGTATGACTGCGGAAGCCGGCTACTCATGCAGTCTTCAACAGCCTTGTAGCACAGTCGAGCAGGATTCGGAATGATGAACCCATGGCTTTTGCGTGACTCCCAGCAAAACCCTCACACAACCTGCAACAAAGGGGGAGCCTTAGCTTTTTGTACAGAAGGCCACCCCAGTCGATCCCAGATTGCATAGCCAACAATGCAAAGTCAGGAGATTCAGAAATGGGAGTTTCCGAAAATTAGGGGTACCTTCTTCTGAGGGACCTTACAAGAACGATCCTACTATTTAGGGCGCTCTAGTAGGGTCCCCTATTTTCGGAAACTCCCATATCCAAAACCAACTCCAACTGCAAGGTTTCAGCGTGGTTTGGGCTTCGAGCTTGATGTTTAAACTTTGCAGTTGGATTGAGGGCTCTGCTTGGGGCCAAGGAGTTTCAAAACGGTCGCTGAGCTTAAGAACCTCGGCGGGCCTCAACCTGTGCTCCCAGAACTCCGGCTTCGGGGATGTGCGAAATGGGTCCCGAAACCCTAAAGCCTAAACTTAGGGTTTAGGGAAAAGGGCTCAGGGTTCCGGAAGCAAGCGATTGGGTGTGGATTCGTGGAACTTCCTGCCTCTGTCCGTACCTCTGGTGGCACAAACGTCATGACCAGCTCGCACCGAACAGCTTTCACAGGCAACACCAAGCTTCTCCAGTAGTCGGAACAGCAACGGCTCGATGAGCTCTGGATACCTTGGAGCATTTAAGTGTCTGTTGCCACGTCAAATTGAAACACAACGGAGCCGGAAGGTGACTTCGAATGGGCACTCAATATGACCAAGCCGAACATCATTGGCGGCGGCTACAATGGTCTTTTCTCAGTCTCTCTTCCTGCCTCAAACAACTCGGATGACCCCGCCTCTTGGTGAGCCGCGGCAGATCCAGTTCCTTCAAAGTCTCGGCCCAGCGTGACCTCAAAGCCTCATCGGGCCAATCGGCGTCCTCAGAGGGCACTGGGCGACAAGAAACCATGATATCACAATACCACAATACCATAGTACCATAATACCATAATACCATAATACTATGATAACATGATACTACCATACTATAATGCCACAATACTATAATACTATATAATACTATAATACTGTCCGATAAGCTTTGGCCCTGTCTCGAAACCTTCAGAGGCCGAAGCTCGTGACTAGCACACTGTTTTTTTTTTGGAAACTTGAGCCTTCGCAAGCCTCCGCTGAATTCTGATCCGGAAGGGTTTAGGGTTTTTTTTTTTTTAAGCTCCTTTTTGATGCCTGCCAGGTAATGGGCTAGCTTCAAGGCCATCAGGCCAGGAGAGTTAGAGCACTTACAGGCTCCAACAAACAGCACATTAACCCAACTCAGTTGTCACCCAGGTCGCCCTCCTTCCCTGCACTCGCGGTCCCCTCGTAGCCCGGCAAACTCATTGTATCAGGAATACCATGGTCTCCCTCGGGGTCTTCGGTGTTCACATCATCAGGCCCAGGCAAGCTCATGGTGTCCTGAACTGGCAACGTATCCCCACCTTCGCCTCGCATCAAGGCAAACTGGGCCTGGAAGAGCTCAAGCAACTGTTCCCCGAACCCTTCGATCACCGCCGCACTCTGGATGTCCCCTCTTTGCCACTGTGCATAAAGTTTCTGGTACTCCTCCATCGGCATGTTGGCCAGCACCGGGTCCAGCGGAGCCTCCGGCCCCTCAGCCAGCAACGGCCCCATGCCCGAACCCACAGGCACCGTACTCACCTGACTTGGTGGGATGACTCCAGATGGGCTACTCACCACATTCTCCTCCACCTTGTCCTCCACCGGCATTGTGGGCGGGACCTCCTCATCAGAGATCTCCTCGATGTTGACCATCAGCTGGAGCCATGCAGGTTCTCCCTCTCGTACCGGCACTCGTAGTTTCCGGGCCAGGCGTGGCCCATCCATACTGCCGGAGGACAGCTCCACCACCACATGACGACCCCTCTTCCGCACTCTCGGCTGTCCATACATCGAGTCCCACATCGCCCAATCATCCCAATCACGGGCCACCATAGTTCGATAGGCCTCCATAGCTCGTTCTTCCTCTCGAAGCTGCCGAGCTACTTCTTGGGCATGCCAATGTTCTTCACGTTCACGGCGCTCCTTGTCAATGGCAGCCTCCCGTTCGTCCTCCAGCAACCGCTGTAGATCCCACTCTGCTTCCTCATCACGCCCGGGACTTTCCCCCTGACCAGCAGCCGGGGCAGTTGTCGCACAAGCATCTGCCTCCTCCGTTGGGCTCTCGTCCGGCAAGGGCCTCATGAACAAGATAGGGTCCGGATCTCTGCGAGGGACCGCCTCACCACGGGCCGCCATGGACCACAGCCCAATCGGCAGGTAGACTTCCACCTGCTGCCACCACTCCAAACACCAAAGCTCACCTGCCTCCGTCGGCTCTGCCTGTGCAACATCAGCCAACATAGCGGTCAGCAGTGCCAACAGGTCCCCTGCTCGATTGCGCGCATGGCCGAGCAAGTAGCCGTGGACCACATCTGTGTCACGGTGGTGCAGCCTCCTCATCATCCACCTGATATTTGCCCTTCGAGCCCCTTTGGTCTGCAGTGTCAGTGCAGATTGCAGGTTTGCCAGGCATTCCCACCAATCTTGTTGTGTGTACTTGCTGTCCTGGTACTTTAAACCCTTGGTCATCATGGTACTGACAACATCACCCTCCTCCACCTGGCTTGCCCCGTGGTAGCTGCTGTACTGCATCACCTGGAACAGGCCTGCCTCGTCCACTTCCACCTCCACCAAGCCGTCACGGCTATTCTCTTCCACTTCAATGGCCGACTGAATGGTACACCCAACCGCCGTAAGAAGCTTGTGGATCAGCTGTTGGAATGCTAGAACCAACGTCACACGATCACGGGCACTGTAGCTCCAGAGTGTCTCCGTGATGCTGGAGATCGTGTACCCCGGCAGGACCGTGTTTGGGCGTGCATCCAAATCCTCAGCACTAGCCAGCCCCAACATCATCACCCAGGTGTCCACTGCTTCTGCCATACTTAAGGGAGGAAGTTCCGGCCCCGATGACGGCTCAGCTGCAGCAGCAGCAACCGCAGGCCGCGGCAGTGGTGCCCTCTGGTCCTGAGTCGGAGCAGGGTTTGCCCTCGACCCTGACGATGGAGCCGACCGCCCAGCTTCCCTTCGGATGAAAGGGCACTTCTTGGCAACTGGCTTCAGACGCCGGACTTCCGTCGTAGTGTGCCCTTCTCCCTGGGGAGCCCTCGCCTTGGCCTTCGCTGCCGTCGTTCTTTCATGGCCGCCACCACGTCGTGCTTCCGGTCGCTCCGGCCTGTCACCAGCCCGTTGCCTTCTTCGGCTGCCAGTCTGCTTAAGCCACTTTTTATCCATTTTGAGCGAGGGCAGGGCCACGAAGTCACCATGGTCCTCATCCCCAGTGAAAGTGTCCTCCTCCAAGTCGCCCTCCTCATTCGTAACTCCTCCCGTCCGAGCCAAGCCAGAACACCCGTAGAACAGGTCCTCTTCCATAGCTCGAGCCCATTCACTCACTCCACGTGCACTTCTCGGGCCCTGCAGGTTTTCAGGGAGGTCCTGTCGAAGCTCCGTAAGGCACTCCATGGCATTTCTGGTGTAGTCCTCACAGCCTCGTTGCATGACCCTGTTCGCCAGCTCATCAAGGGCAGTGCTCACATCACACCCTGCATTGAGCCAGCCCTGCATATCGTCCAGTGCATGAGCAGTCCACACCTCCCACGTAGTAGCCCGTCGGGACATCTTCCTCGGCGGTTCTGGCGGCATCACCCACGCAGGCCTTGTTCGACTCGACGAGGCACGCTCTCCCAAGCCGTGTAGCTGAGCCACCAACATGGGCAACTTCCTCCTTTCATTGTAGTCTTCACGGTGCCTCCTGTCCTCCTCGTCCTCGGCCATGTCCTCGTCCAGGTCCAAGTCAAAGTCAGCCTCCTCCGTGGCCAACAAGTCCATGTCAGCCTGCTGCCGTGGGTGCACGATGGCCATAAACTCTTGGTGCGCGTGCTGATCCACGTAACGGCACCATGTTTGCACCTCTTCGGACACAACTCCGGGCAGCACGTTGTTCCCTTGGTAGTCATGCAACATTGCCTCAAGCTGCCCGTACAAGTTCATGCTCCACTGCCAGTAAGGGACATCAGGGCGACTCCCAATCACATGAGCAAGGTAAGTCAGCACCTCCCCAACATTGACCCCTCTAGCCTGCATGCCGGCAAGCTCCGTACAGGCATGGTGGAACCAAAACGGAGGCCATTCTCCGAAGGGTTCATCAGGCTGCCCTGCTCCACCATCGGCTCCCAACAGGAGCACCACCGGCAGCATTCTCGGCCACCTCCACCAACACCCCACGAGCATCCTCACCTCCTGGCTCGTGAGGCTCCATCCCCCCAAGTTGCTCTGCCCAGGCAGCTTGACCGCATCATCACTTCCGACCCTGGGCTGACCAAACCACCAATCAATCACACCCTTGTCATACTGTTGGTAGATCACAGGGTCACTCGCAGCAACCGCAAACTTACGCAGAATCGCCACGAGGAGCCCCGCCGCGAGCAGCCGCCACATCCCTCCGGGACGACAGCCGCCCCCAAACATGTAGAAATCGTGCAACACCATCACGGAGTCAGGCGCGCGCTCAGTGCCACTCACAAGCCCAAGCTGCAGGGACGTCAGGACCCGTAACCCTTCATCCACCCCTTCGCAGGCCCTATGAGAAAGCAGGTAGAGCAAGTTGGCGACCAGACACCCACGGTAAATCATTGTGCTGAACCCAAGCAACCCTGAACCCTCTCCATCCAGATCGATCGTGAGCAGCATCCCTCCAGTAGCCCCCACAAGCCCTGTTCATACGTTCTTCGAGGACGGACAATCTTGGATAGTGGTGCCCTCCATGCATAATGCCATCGGTAGATCGTTGTTGACGGCGCCACCATGAAAGAGTTCGAAATTGGTCCACTAGTGAACTGAGTGGGGGAGACTCCGACAAGATAGCTCTCGATCTATGTCCGGAATAATCCCACCAACGTTGCAACCACAACGTTGACCACCGACAGAACCCGTATCTATGCAAGACGTACCTCGAGGATCTCACTGATCTTTGTTTAAACTGGACCCACGTCTCGTCCCTGTATTTGCTGAATCTGAGCATCCAGCTGAGTAGCATCGTCTGCATGGCGTTGAGCAAGCCCATTGCAGCTCGGTCCGGCGGCAGTGCCGCCAGGCACCAGAGGCCAGCCCCTGCCACCACTCGTTCAAACAATGCCAATCTTCCAGGGAGAGGTGCCCTACACCTGAGGAGGTGCTTAATACTCCAAAACTTAGTTTTGGCGCGGGCCAAGAGGGGCTGGATCAATTCACACATGGACATACCCTTCCGCATACGTAGCCCCATAATCTCGATGGCTTCAACACTCTTGAGGCAAACCCCCGCGATCTTGAGCTCCCGGGCCCCATCCACATCCGCCGAGCAGTACAACTGGCACTTCTCTATGTTCACCGTCAGACCGTACCCAGCCAGAGTCTGCAAGTACTGTTCGAGTTTCAACCCTACCACCCCTGTGTCAGGACCCCATAACAGCCCATCGTCCATGAACAAAGCATTTTCATGTTCGAAGTCCTCGAAGACACGGCGCGCCTGAGGCCAGGAGTGCTTCGCGGAAGTCTCTTCCAGCGCTTCCTCCATGAGCAAACTGAAGAAACTCGGGCTTTCCACCGCCCCCTGCTTTATCCCTGTAAAGAGATCGAAGTCACTGTGACCCCAAGGGCTGAGTAAGGTGGCCTTCGTATCAAGGATCAACCTTTCCCAACAAGCCATTTCAGCAGTATCACCAAGTCGAGCCCTGAGCTTGCCAATCAGCCGACCCTTGTTCACACTGTCAAAGGCCTTACGAATGTCCACTTTGACACAGACTATGGGTCTGTGCCACTCCCTGCATAATTCCAACATACGCCAAATGCTGAAGACGTAGTCAGAGCACTGCCTGTGCTGACGTGCACATTGAGCAGGTGAGCGGGCAGACAACTTCGGGAGGCACCTGTTCAGCAGAAGCCGTGCGAACAACTTGGAGCTCCCACTGCTCAAAGCAATTGGCCGCAGATCACGCGCCTCCTTAGGACACGGCACCTTCGCAAGGAGTATCATCAACACATGGTTCCACTCCCCAGGTACCGATTGTGTAGCAAGGATCTGCGTGAAAAACTCTGCCAAATGAGAAGCCCCACCTTCGACCTCCAGAAGACCCTGGAAGAGTTCCTTACAGGTACAGTCCACTCCAACTGATTTCCCGGACTTCATTTGATCCACTGCCACCTTGACCTCCTCCACCGTGAAAGCCACAACCGACCCACCCGGCTGCACAACCCTAGCAGTCGGCCGGCCCTCGTACTGTTTTCGCAGATGCCTGGCCACAACTTCATGCGGATCCTCTGTCTGGTGGTCTGCAAACCCTGAGTCCCAAGAAACCTGCCCTTCCAACTTGATGTCCTTGATGGCCTTCCAGTCACACTGCGACGCCCGCCAAACCCTATCCTCCTCCCACTTCCGTCTGGCTTCCCTCCTGGCCTTGAGGGCGGCTTTCCACTGCTCCCGGGACTTGGATACCTTAGCGAGCCGGAATGCCTCCTTGATCGCCTTGCTGTCTCTGTATGCCCTAGACGGGACAGGCTTTGTACACTCACGAGCATAGTCCTTCAGCTGCGTCACAGACAAGCCCTCGACCCTGCCAATACCACCCACCCAAACCCTCGGTCTGGTACTGGGCCGCTTGAAGAGTCGCTTCCCTGGAAACCCAAAGACACCCTCGAGCAACTCATGGTCCGTGTTCAACGACAAGCAAGAGTCCCGGAAGACCCTCCCATTCCTGTGCAGAAGCCCTCGGCCTGCAACCATGTCAATTCTCGACCCCGACCGACCCTCCTGCCTCGGCCTGCTCGTCGGCAACTCCTGGTGCTCTCGGCACGGGGCCAAAGGCTGAAGTGACGAGCCAGCCAGCAGGTCCAGCACCAGCAAGGCCTTACCATCCAAACCACAAGCGACATCCCCGGATTCATGTTGGTCCCACGAAAAGGGAGCATTCAGATCACCTTGAACAATCACCCTCCTGTTCTGCTTTGGCATTCCATGCAAAAACCCTTCAGCCATCGCTGCATACTCGGCCTGCGTCTTGCCTGGAGTGAGGTGCACCGACCCAAACACAATCTTCTCCCCCGACTCCAAATGCTTCAGTGTAATCCAAACGCCTGCCCCCGAGTGCTTCTTGGAAACTGGCCCCCAGACCCTAGGGTCAAAACCAATCCCACACCCTCTCCACTGTTCAGACCCCCTATAGCTCAGCACGGTGAGACCAGCCAACTTCACTGTTTTCCATCCCGGTGCCACTCGTGGGCACTCCTGCAGCAGCAGGACCGACTCCTTAAAAGGGGCCCCCGTGCACAAGGCAAGAGCATGAGGCAGCTGCTCCAAAGCCGCGCCGCCAATGTTCCAGCCCAAAACTCGTACTTCAAGGCCATGCACAGCTGCCATCGGCAAGGGCGAACTTTTCTCGCCTTTCCCAACCTCAGCCAAGACAAATTCCATCGCTTCAAGCCCCTTTTCCCCTGGTCACCGGCGGAACTCCATGAAGGCCGCCTTCAAGTCCACAACCGTGATCCCTGTGTACTTCGCAATGGCACTGAGCCAGACCCATGGCCGGGACACCAGCCGATCATCCCAAAGCACCTCAGAGTCATCCGTGACCCCGGGGGGAGCCTTAACAGCACCTGCCACCAGGTGCTCGCCCAGCCAGGCACTACCGGTGCTGTACTCCACGTCGAGGTGCTGGAGGAGGTCCTGGTTAAAGCTGCCCAGAGCTCTTTTGAGCCATGTGCAGTGCCCTGCAATGTCCCTCTGAGCCTTGCTTTTCGAGTAGCCAGCCCACATGCGTTTCCCATGGGAAGTCACCGCCTTCGAGTTAGCCACACCCATGACCACAGCCTGCATGCGCTGCCGTCGGCCCTCTTCATGTTCCCCAGCTCGCAACTCGAACGGGAGCAATGCCACACTTCTGCGCGGCCCTGTTGTGAACGGAGCCTGGTCAGTCAGATGGCGAAGATTCAGTCTTTCCAGAGCCTCGGCGACTTCAGACAGGATAACTTTCCTTTGTGTCTCTGCATTCCAGCCGCCAAGGACCAGTGTGCCCTTGCGTTTTTCCTCAATCCCCTGTCCTTCTCCCGAAGCCCCAGCACGTAGAAGCCCTTCCAGCCGCGCGACCTTTGCCTCCATCCCCTGAAGACGGACGTCCATCCCTTGAACCGTGGTATCTACCTCCTCGAACTTCGCCTGCACCTTGCTGTCCAAGGTATGCACCATCTCCTGGACGTGATCACGAGTAGCCTTCACGATGTCGTCCCGCTGCTCCACCAGCATCGACCTCAGGACATTCCAGTCGAAGGCTTGGGGGAGTTTGTTCTTCTTCCTCGGCTTTTCCCCCACAGGACCCGACGGCTCACCACGTGCCCGCTTCGGACTTGCACTCTCCTCATCCGACTCATCAGGCACGGGAGGCAAGCCGCCCCCAGGCCCAGCGTTCCCCTGCCCCAACATCATGATCCCTTTGCGGTCACGTAACGCAGAATCGCGTAAGGCAAGAACAGCAGGAGGTCCTCAACCCGCCGACCTGAGCCCCGACGCTCCGAATCGCCTCCACCAGCTCGATCGCCCGCACCCAATGTCCTGCTCGGGAACGGGAGCACGTCTCACCTGGCACTACGGGGCCTTGAGCCAAAATGGCTAGGGTTTAGGGTTTAGGGTTTAGGGTTTAGGGAAACCACATGCACCAAAGAACAGTCCCCACTCTCTGAGAAAGACATCTGAGTCAGGACAGCTGGAAGTGCGTCCAGGTGAACGGTAAAGTGCCTGGTCTTCCTAGGTCCTAGCACTAGCAGCAGTAACGTGTCATGTGGGAATATAGTACCCTAAATAGTAGGATCCGTATTATAAGGACCCCCAAAATAATGTACCCCTAATTTTCGGAAACTCCCAGTTTGAAACGCCCATCACGTCTGACAACGTGTCCTTTGGATGAAAAGCCAGTAAGGAAACATGTCGAATCCCGAGCGGCTTTGGGCATCCCCCCGATGAAAACCTTCAAGACCTACAAGGAAGGTGCTTTTGTTCCACTGATGCAAGCAGGATACCACCCGCCGCTGTTCACCAACCACTCAAATCATGCAAAACGACCCTGAATCCGCAGCAGAATGAAACGAAAGAAGGCCACAGCAGCCCGACAAGCCCAGCAAGCAAAGGCTGCCCCCTTCACTAGATACTTTGGCCTTCAAGTACCTATACAGGGACTGTTTTCAAGCACACATATAATATATATATATATATATATACTATATACTATATTAGTACATCCAGTCCAAACCCCCAACTCCAAGCCGAGACACCTCCTCCCAAATCCTGCCATTTTCCAAGGCCAGCCGCCAGCCTCGGAGGCCGTCCGCGATCTGCTGCCAGCCGAATGCAGGGTGGGCCTGTGGTGTCGGCAAGCAGCAGCAGTGGTAGCGAGCGGGAGCGGGAGCAGTAGCAGTAGCAGGAGCAGCAGCAGCAGCAGCAGCAGTAGAAGTGGCATAAGCAGTAGCAGCAAGAGTAGCAGTAGCAATAAGAGTAGCAGCAGCAGTAGCAGGAGCAGTAGGAGTGGCAGTGGCAGAGGCAGTGGGAGTAGGACTAGGAGTAGGAGTGGAGTAGGAGCAGGGGCTAGTTAGGAATAGTAGGAGTAGCAGCAGTATACAGTAGAAGTCGTGGTAGTAGTGCGCTTTGCTTGTCTTTGTCGCTGTGGTTTCTGTGCATGAAGGCATAGTACAAGCCATGGCAGGCACGGCTTTTCACAAGAGGAGCAGTCTCTGGACTGTAGTGGTCACACCAGCACGGCTACGTTAACATCGTCTGAGTGGACGTTAACATCGTTGGCTCACGGATGCTCTGGGAAATGCATAAGGTCTGAGTGCACGTTAACATGGTTGGCCCACGGATGCTCTGGAAAATAAAAGAGGTCTGAGTGGACATTCACATGCTTGGCCAACGGATGCTTTGGGAAATGAAGAAGATTTGAGTGGACGTTAACATCGTTGGCCCGTGGATGCTCTGGTAACTGGCCTCCTGGAAAGCAGGAGGTCTGCGCGGACATTACTTGGCCCATGGAAGCTCTGGGAAATGGATGAGTTGTGAGAGGACCTTAACACGCATGGATACGTTGGGAAATGGAAAATGTCTGGGTGGACGCTAACACTATTGGCCCATGGATACTCTGGAGAATGAATGAGGCCTCAGTGGACGCCCACGGATGCTTTGGGAAATAAATAGGGTTTGAGTTGACGTCTGAGTGGACGTTAACATCGTTGGCACACGGATGCTCCGGGAAATGAATGAGGTCTGAGTGGACGTTAACATCGTTGGCCCACGGATGCTCTGGGAAATGGATGAGGTCTGAGTGGACATTAACATCGTTGGCCCACGTTGCTCTGGGAAATGAATGAGGTCTGAGTGGACGTTAACATCGTTGGCCCCCGGATGCTCTGGGAAACGGATGAGGTCTTAGTGGACGTCAACACGGTTGATCCACGGATGCTCTGGCAAATGGACGAGGTCCGAGTGGACGTTAACATCGTTGGCTCACGGATGCGCTGGGAAATGGATGAGGTCTGAGTGGACGTCTGCACGGTTGGCCATGGATGCTCTGGGAATTGAATGAGGTCTGAGTGGACGTTAACATCGTTGGCCCAAGGATGCTCTGGGAAATGGATGAGGTCTGAGTGGACGTTAACTTCGCTGGCCCACAGATGCTCTGGAAAATGAAAACAGTCCGAGTGGACGTTAACATCGTTGGCGCACGGATGCGCTGGGAAGTGGATGAGGTCTGAGTGGACGTTAACATCGTTGGCCCACGGATGCTCGGAAAATGAACGAGGTCTGAGTGGACGTTAACATGTTTGGCCCGCGGATGCTCTGGCAAATCGACGAGGTCTGAGTGGACGTTAACATCGTTGGCCCACAGATGCTCTGAAAAATGGATGAGGTCTGAGTGGACATTGCTGGCCCACGGATGCTCTGGGAAATGAATGAGGTCTGAGTGGACGTTAACATCGTTGGCCCACGGATGCTCTGGCAAATGGATGAGGTCTGCGTGACGTTAACATAGTGGGCCGACGGATGCTCTGGAAAATGAAAACAGTCTGAGTGGACGTTAACTTCGTTGGTCTACGGATGCTCTGGAAAATAAATGAGGTCTGAGTGGACGTTAACATCGTCGCCCCACCGATGCTCTGGAAAATCAATGAGGTCTGAGTGGAGGTTAACATCGTTGGCCCACGGATGCACTGGGAAATTGATGAGGTCCGAGTGGACGTTAACATCGTTGGCCCACGGATGCTCTGGGAAATGGACGAGGTCCGAGTGTACGTTAACGTCGTTGGCCCACGGATGCTCTGAATGAGGTCTGAGTGGACGTTAAAATCGTTGGCCCACGGATGCTCTGGGAATTTGATGAGGTCTGCGTGGACGTCAACACGGTTGGCACATGGATACTCTGGGAAATGAATGGGGTCTGAGTAGACGTTAACATCATTGGCCCACGTTGCTCTGGGAAATGAATGAGGTCTGAGTGGACGTTAACATCGTTGGCCCCCGGATGCTCTGGGAAACGGATGAGGTCTTAGTGGACGTCAACACGGTTGATCCACGGATGCTCTGGGAAGTGGATGAAGTCTGCTTTGACGTTGACATCGTTGGCCCACGGATGCTCTGGGAAATGAAAGAGGTCTGAGTGGACGTTAACATCGTTGGCCCACGGATGCTCTGGGAAATGGAACCTTAGCCCACGGATGCTCTGGAAAATGGATGAGGTCTGAGTGGACGTTAACATCGTTGGTCCACGGATGCTCTGGGAAATGGAACCTTAGCCCACGGATGCTCTGGAAAATGGATGAGGTCTGAGTAGACGTTAACATCGTTGGCCCACGGATGCTCTAGAAAATGGATGAGGTCTCAGTGGACGTTAACATCGTTGGCCCACCGATGCTCTGGAAAATGGATGAGGTCTGAGTGGACGTTAACTTCGCTGGCCCACAGATGCTCTGGAAAATGAAAACAGTCTGAGTGGACGTTAACATCGTTGGCGCACGGATGCTCTGGGAAATGAATGAGGTCTGAGTGGACGTTAACATCGTTGGCCCACGGATGCTCTGGAAAATGAATGAGGTCTGAGTGGACGTTAACATCGTTGGCCCACGGATGCTCTGGAAAATGAATGAGGTCTGAGTGGACGTTAACATCGTTGGCCCACGGATGCTCTGGAAAATGGATGAGGTCTGAGTGGACGTTAACATCGTTGGCCCACCGATGCTCTGGAAAATGGATGAGGTCTGAGTGGACGTTAACATCGTTGGCGCACGGATGCTCTGGGAAATGACGGAGGTCTGAGTGGACGTTAACTTCGTTGGCCCACCGATGCTGTGGCAAATGGATGAGGTCTGAGTGGACGTTAACATCGTTGGTTTACGGATGCTCTGGAAAATGGATGAGGTCTGAGTGGACGTTAA